TAATCTTTATATACACTTCTGGCCATTTATAAGGCTATTAAGCAAGCAAGACAGTTTTAATTATGGCTAATAAGCCTAACTGGTGTATTCCTAACTTTTATGAGAAAAGAGGGGTGCAGTGAATTGGGAGTGATATACTTTCAGGTGGTTTAGGTGTACACTCTTCTTGCACTTTGCCCTTTTTCGCCCCTTCAAATGATTGTAAGCCCTCAGGGGCAGGGTCCTCCTTACCATCTTGCCTTGAATTGTATTGTGATTGTAATGTCTTCTTTATATTATTGGAAAGCGCTGCGCAAACGGTTGGCGCTATATAAATCCTGTATAATAATAATGATTCAGTGGTGTACTGCAAACAAAAGTCAGCTCCAAGAACAAATGGCCAGTAAAATGTGAATGCTGCCCTAGCAACATAAAATAAGTGAAGAAAATGAAAACCCCAAAACACCACACCTGAAAAAAAGCCCACTTTATCTTTTTTTTATTAAAAGTGTGTGCTATGAACAGGGCAGTAGCTTTACGTGACCTCTCAAATCAAGTAAAAGACAGCAAAGGGGTTGTATTAAGAGCTAGCTATCAGAATTAAAATACAGTTTCCTAGCTGACCCCAATCTCTTTTATGCAGTTTGTCAGCTTCTCTGATCCTTTTCTTACAGCAGCTTTAATACTGTAATGATGGCTGTTCTGTGTCCACCCTTTTATATTTAGGAGGTTGGCTTATCCAAAAGCCCCCTTATTGGTCTTTCTAGACCCGCAGGTCGTTGTCTAAGGGCCATGCAGTGCATTATGGTTTTAAAGAAACTGTCAGAGACTGGGACTGCGACTTTCAAACCCGTAGGATTTGACACAAACCCATGGTAGCAGTGAAACCATAGCAGCATCGAACCCCAACCTACGACCCAATGCCAATATGGGGTTTTTGAAATCCATTACCAGTAACTAAGGACAACCATGAAGGGCTCCAGTATGGAATTCTTTTCTTCTTCCACTCACCGGTTACTTTACTTTCACAGGGTTAGTCACAGATGGGTGAAGAGTTTGGAGAAGTGAACAAGCTAGGACAACATAGCTGAACTGGAAAGTGACCCGAATTGGAGAATTTTTCCAAATCAGCGATGTTGTCTGAGATTGTTCACTTCTCCGGCCTTCTCCAAACTTGTCACCCTTTTGTGAATAGCACTGGAAATCTTAAAAAGGCAGCAGATTCAGGTAGATCTGTCTGTCGTTGATCAATCTTCTGAGGCATGCTTAGAGTCCTAAACTTCAATTTAGTATGGCTTAGTGGAAGGCAGCATCATACGACTGCATATTGTTGAATGTCATGTACAAAAAGAAAACTCATATAGACCTTCCATTGTCGCTGACCAAGAAGAATACTTTTGAAAGCCAAATGCATCTGAGATATATGACAACCTCAATTGGTAAAACATTTGTGGAATGTTATTAGATACTTACAATGATAAAACCACAGACTGGACCAAGGAAACTCCAAATAATGTCAAGATTGATCCAACAACTAGATGGAGAGGAGACTGTTCAGTTTTTCTATACATTAAACTGTGGACATAACACAATACAGTGCAATACATTAAAAAAGCAAGTAAAGTAGTATACTTAAAGGAGAATTATGAGGTGAGTGATTTTCACTCAGCCTCATAACCTGAGCCGACCTGTGACAATAAAACAGTCACAGATTGGCTCAGTAGATCGGGAAGTGAGCAAACACATACCGTCACTGGCTCACTTCTCGATCTATCCCTGCAGAGAGCCGTGACTGTCACTCCCAGCTCCGTGCTGGGTTTCCCCCCTCCCCTGTCTGATTCTCCAGCGCTGACTGGCGGAACGGACAGGGGAGGGGGCGGGCACAGCTGGCTCTGCCTCTGGATAGGCAGAGCCAGCTGTCAATCCCGCAGCTGGGTGGATCTCGACAGCAATGTCGGGATCCGTTCCGGCGTCTCAGTATACCGCGAGCTGTAGCTGGCGGTATACTGAGCTTTGGGTCACGGGAGAATGCTAGTTTGTGTTCTCCCATTACCCTTAGGAGAACTATGGGGAAAAGCCCTGACCCCATAGTTCTCCTTTAATGGTTCAAAACGGGATGAAGATTTAGTTGGGGCCACAGCTCTGCTCAGTATAGGTTGGTGCTACTGACAGTTAAAAATAAAGCTGAATTCAATAGCGCTCAAGCATTATATAGGAGTGAAGACCACAACTTACTATGAGTCTGTTCCATAGTCAAGTGGATGAACAGCTGCTGTAATTCCCACAATCACAGCTGGGATACCGAACCCCAGAAGACACATAAGCGGAAAGTTCGATTTTCGGGAGGCCATGTAATTGACAGCCCTCAGGTTTCGGACAGTCATGAAGAGCAAAAAACTCTCAATAGACATCCAGCAGAAGGCACAGAGGAATGAGAATTGGAGACAACCGGCAATAAAAGCACAAAGGAGCTGAGGAAGAATAGAGAATAGGAAATGGGTTTAGTGATTTTCCAATCCTAATACCAGGAGGTCATGGTGGTAATAGGACTCTTTGAACCTAAAACTGGCTAAATAATAACTGGACTGGACTTTTCTCCTAAGAGTATGATCAGCTTTCTTCCTTATAAGAGGAATCCTTCTAAACCCTTATCATACGGAGTGAGATAGTACCTATCCGCTAATCCAGGTGCACATGTTCTGGCCTTTCCACCTCAGATATAAATAGTTACCTTAATCCTGGTTTGGCGGATTCCCACCAGAAGCAAAAGTTGTCCCAGGAAGAGGCATCCACTCATAGCTGTCAGGACGGAGGTATGAGAGCTCCTCAGAGACCGACACAGGATGAAGGTGAGCAGAGACAGACACAGGCAGAGAAGAGACAGACTCAGGCCAATGTAGGAGAGAAGGGTGAGAATAGAATCCTCCTGTCAAAATAGAAACATGAAACGATCATCTCACAAAGGTGAAATCACTGAGAATATAACTTATGTCCTTCCTTCTTTTCTCCCTCCATTCCTTTCCACATATACACTTTCATAATTTTCCTCATTTCCTGAAAATATTTTTAAAGTGGTTCTCAAATTTTTAGTTGCCCGCTGTTCCATATTTTTTTTTTACATTTATGAGTTTATAATGTTCCTTCCAGCAGGAAATATCAAGTCATATGATCAGAATTCCCTGGTTACAGTAAACAGCCAGCAAATTAAATTTATTTTTCTTTCTTTGGATGGAGAGGGACGGACCCCTGTTGTATCCACATTGGAGAATCCACCAGGGTTTGGTTCCTTATTCTCATTTACGTGGAGCCAGGTTGGTTTTCATGTTTTTCTTATACAACGCCTTCAACATACAAATGATGTTCAATACATATTATAATTTCATCAACATTCCCATTTGCTGTAATCACCTGGATTTTATCCGGAGCCTCCAGAGCCATGAGGAGTGCAAAGCTGGAGAGGTGGGTACAGGAGCAGTTGGTGTATGTGCCATCAGATTGTCCCGTGTCACAGCCTTCATCTGACCAGCCATTCCTTACAGGGTCCCAATATACACAGGTGACCTTATAAAGGGGTTGTAAGGGCTGCAATAAAAAACATTTATACATTTTAGTGACTGTGTCATGTCACCCATCAATACCTCCCAAATGGGTCTTTTTGGCATTGTCAACCTGGGAAAAGTTATGCAAGCCCCATCACTTCCACCACAAATAAAAAAAAGTCTGATGGCGTTGTTGTTTGCATTGGGCATTGAGGAGTGATCTGTACAGCATCTCTCCCTCCCCCGCTGTCCACTGTGATCCTTATATAAGATATAAAGGCTTAAGCTGGGCATACAGTGCTAGAATTTTGACCGATCCCTGTCAATTGCTGAAATCCCACGGGTGGCCCTACTGGCACCACCTGACTTGAAAAACGTTTCATTGAAAAATAGGAGCCGAGCGCAAAATTGTAGTCCAAACAGTGACAGCTGGGTTATCTTTTAGACATTCACAATTCTTGTATTGAAGCAATATAAACAGATTATTTGGTCAACAAGGAACCTAAGTAGAGGCAGGGCAGGGAGTGTCCTTGGCCTACATATTTGATGCCCCTATTTCTCATACCAGAAAGTTGGGTGGAATGGTTGAGTCACGATGGGAAAATACTGACCTGCAGATGGTAAAGTCTGAAGATAATGGGGGAGTTCAGATTTTGGCTCTTAGAGTTTGTGATGGCTCCAGACACCACCTTCGAGTTGAACTCCACCTGGTCATCCCATCTGCTAACTCGTGGAGTGAATAATATACTTCCATTACATGGGAAATTAAACTTTGTGTAGGTGATCAGAACAGCACCATCTGAAGGCAAGAAGAAATCATGTTTGTGAGATAGCAAGGGTGAATTATAGAAGAGTTGAGGAGCGTAGCTGCTTCCCTCATAGGTTCAGTACAGTACACACATTGTAGAACGCATTCACTCTGGTGAACATCTTTTATTTTGATCCAAGGCTTATGAAATGAGTACAGCACCCCGATGTACAAGTGTGATATTTATTAATTGCTAGAGCGTTTATTATACACTGTCGTAGACTGATATATGGTCACACAGTAAACAAAAACAGATGACCCATGACTCCTCTGATCAATTGCCTATGTGTCTTAGGTTATCTGAGCTAGAGCCATACTTCAGATTGAACAGGCAAATTAAAGGCAAATTATATAAGCTTTGGTCACCTTATTTGTTTTTTCTTTTTTTAGTTTATGTGCCTAAACTGGTGTTTTATATGTTTTTCCTATACAGAATCTGTGTATCACAAATACACATTCAGTACAGGGTGAACCCATGACAAAGAATACCCAGAGCACTATGGGATTGTTTTAAAAGAGCAAGCACAGCAGAAGCAGCTCCTTTTCAGATATACTGTCTCTCAATGATGCCTTGGATGGAGCCATCTGAAGGAAGAGGGGGGAAATCACAGCTCTCAGTCATTAAAGTGACACTAAACTCCGGAGTTAAACCTTAAAAATACATTCAAGTACCTTAACTCTGAGCAACAATGTATCTTATTTGTGTATCACTCGGCTGTAGATCCTCCAATCATCTCTGACACTGTCCTTCCTTCTGGAGGGGGGCTACGTCTGTTGCCCATGGTCCCTGTGTGTGTTGTAAAGTAGTCACCTCCCATCTCCTGTCAACAGATGCAGGCCCATAGAGTGGAGGATCAGGAGCTTCTTCCTCAACATAAGGCATACTGACCTGGCCATCTGGAAACGTTTCTGTTCCACCCTATGCCTTATCTTGGTGCAAGTCATTGGTTGAAGTGATAGAAACCTGGGGAAATGTGTATGTATTCCAGATATGTACTACATTTTTTTTTCCCCCTTGACATACACTTTAGCATAAATTCAGCTTCAGTTACTGGGCCCTGTACACAACAAACCTTTTAGAACAGGCAGTAAGCAGAAGCTGGAAAACACAGGGACATGGCCTGAAGCTCCTAAAACCAATATTAGAACATATCACATGAACAATGTTTCATATTTACCTAAATAAAAAGTTTTTTTTTAATTGTAATTTTAGTTCTGAGCAAAATAAATAAAATATATACATTTAAAATAAATATAATGTATTTCTTTTATATTACTCACTGGCTTCAAACTATATGTATTGCTTCTTAGGTACTCTGGTAGGTGTGCAGCATCACAGTATATCTGGATATTTTGCATGATTTTAATATTATCTTTATTATATATCAGATATGGAAATATTCCAATTTTATATTACCTTTGTCTCCGGGCACCAGGCTACAGGGCACCGCCATAATATTGTCAGCCGAGACCAGGCAGAAGGACTGGACACCATGACTGCAGACGTCATGGGAAGGCTTCATGGTAATATCTGGCGGGGAGGGAAATGGCATTAGGGAAACAAGATCTTACAGTATGAAAAGACAGCTTTGCCCTGTGGAAAGTAAATGGATTCAGCTAAATAACATTCTTCTGAAGAGTTATCAGGTGTGAAGCAAGATCACTATGTTACAGATCAGCCTAAAAAAATAGAATACATTTATTAAAGCTGAATTCCAAGAACACAGCTCCAGTTATCAGTGAATACATTTATGAGAGATGTTTAACCTCCAAATTATTTACATATCTGTCCATCCAGTCCTGAGATTTACAGAGTCCCATCGTACAGCATGACCAGATGAGTGACACCACTTTCTCTAATGCACGTAAGGAATACAGGGGTGTCCCCTCCCCACGACCAACCTGCTGATTGGGCAGTGAAGTTGCAGCAGCAGACCAATGAGGTCACCCTTAGGGAAGAGATTTGCAGCTACTATGGGCTTGCAGCGAATCCTCTGGATTCATGAAGTTTGGTGCATCATGAAATTCTGGTTGAAATGTTCACAGGATCACCACTAGAAATAAGGATGCGCTGTGTAGCCTTTGTCCTGGTCAGCTGAACTACAAGAAGCAGTCATTGAAAGGAATGAATAACCCTGAAGGGGGGGGGGGGGCTCACAGCAGCCATATTTTCAGCTGTTAGGTAGAGGAGCTGAGTAGGAGATACTGGTTTATTTTGGTATTGACACATGTTCCTCATAGCAGTGCCTAGCTTCCTGTGCCTTTTGTCTGACAATAGGTTACTTGTTAGCTCTACAATTGGCCAGAATAAAAGAAAAAAAACAAAAACAAGACACCCCCCACAAAGACTTTAATGGGGTTTGCTGTCAAATAAGCAAACTTTGACCTTTGAGCCAGATTTGCAAAGCTGTTTGCAAACCAGACCCAGCAGATTTGCTCATCTCTAGTCACCCTTCTGCTCACTCTGTACGCTCCTCCTATCAGGCCATACTTTTCCTGCACATCTGGCTTTTCCATTCTTTAAAGGAGAACTATGAGGCGAGTGATTTTCACTCACCTCATAGTTCTAGCCGACCTGTGACAATGAAACTGTCACAGGTCGGCTCAGTAGATCGGGAAGTGAGCGAACACATACCGGGGCGCTTGCTCACTTCTTGATCCTGTCACTGCAGAGAGCCGTGACAGGGGAGGGACTGGATTCCACCCTCCCCTGTCCGATCCTCCAGCGCTGACTGTCGGAACGGACGGGGGAGGGGGCGGGTACAGCTGGCTCTGCCTCTAGATAGGCAGAGCCAGCTGTCACTCACGCAGCTGGGTGGATCCAGACATAATTGTCGGGATCCGCTTCAGCTTCTCAGTATACCGCGAGCTGTAGCTAGTTTGTGTCCTCCCGTTACCCTTAGGAGAACTATGGGGAAAAGCCCTGACCCCATAGTTCTCCTTTAATAGGACAAGTCTCAGTAGCTTTTGCCATATTTTTTTTTAAAATACTTACCTCCTCTGGATTTCTTCTGGATAGCCATATAATACACAGGGTCCTTCATCTCCTAACCAGTACTAGACAGTCATCAGTGATGCAATAAGAGGTGCCAACATGATGACATCAGCATCGGTCTCCACATCATTACACTGTGAGTGCACGGTTCCATGGTGATGCCCTAATGCGGTGGGCCCATGACACCTTGCACTCGGGGCATGGGTATCATTCAACCTGGATAACTGAGGAGAAATAGTGGCAGAAAGTAATCACTGTGGTGGATAATGCTGGAGAGGAGGTGAGTAAACCAACTGGCAGACATGTTAAAGTTAGGCTTTGGCTTTAAAAATAATATAGTGTCTGTTTATTAAGCTGCTATAAGTACTATACATATTCACCTAGCTCAGTGGTGTTAATTTGCTGAGTCCTTGGTGCCCTCAGAAAGGAAATCAGAACATTTTGTTCCACAGTGTATAGAAGTTCTGTAATGAACTGTCCATTCTCCACTCGTTCAGAGTTGGCACTGTAATTGGTGAGTGCCTGAGTGAGCCTTTCTGTCGTCTTCTGGAGCTCTTGTTCTGCTTCCTGTAATGAGAGAGATAGAGAGACTATGAGAGGGTGAGAGAGGAGAGATCATCTCCTCAAAGGCCATAGGAGAACCTCTAACGATGCTTGCTGGGCTGAGCTGGGCAGATTCCCTTTAATGCTCACAGTACAGAAGAGGACGCTGTCATACTGCTACCACCTACAAAACAGCACCCCCTGCTCATACCACCATAGAGTCCTACTGACCAACAAGGACCACTCCGTGAAGCCTTCAACAACTCATCATCACCTTGTCCATCCAAAGCCCCCATAAATCTCAAATAAGGACAACTCCAAAGAAACTAACTATTTACCAGTCACTGCAGAGAGAGACTACAAACTGGCCCCATACCTGGAGATACTACAAGACCCCAAAGACAGATAGACCCCCAAGACTGTACAGACTGAGTGCCCACAGCCTGGAAATTGAATCATGGCAGCACAGGAAGACCTACAAGACCAAAAAGAGTAGACTGTGCCAGTGTTGTGACCGGAGCGCCCTGGAAGATGAGGTCCACTTCCTACAATGCTCCACTTATTCAGCACTGAGAGACACTCACTTCCAGAGACACTCCACCCTCATCCTGGACTTCACCTCTAAAGAGAAGAAGAAACTTCACATTTTACTGGGAGAAGAGGAGCCGATGGTGAAAATGGCTGCACATTATGTAACAGAATGTTACTGACTGAAAGGGACATGAGACGTTATGGACTTATAAATCCCTTAGGCCCCATTCACACTGAGCGATTTATCGTGCGATTTTTGCAGCGATATTGCTCATATTTCAAAACGATATCGCTCTATGTAGCTTCTCCAATCCATTTCAATGGAGCTGTTCACATCTCGCCGCTCAATATCGCTTGTAGCTCGTCGCTGGTAGCTTGTCGCTCCTACATGACCCTTTTTTCTGCGGATTTCGAGCGATTTTGCTCCTGATTGCATACAGCCCAATAGGGATAAGTCGCGCAATATCGCACATATAAAAACGCGCTGAAAATCGCACGATTTTCATGTCGCTCAGTGTGAATGGGGCCTAACATGGACTCATCACCCTTTATATTATCCCTTACTCCTGATAACACTCCTGGACTCACCTATTCCCTCCATATTATCCTTTACCCCTAACAATGTCCTAAGGCGTATCCCTCCCCTATCACATAACAATTCCTCAAATGCTTTGGCAATGCTAAAAACTGGACCTG